ACCCTTCCCCCTCCGCGTCATTCGCCCCCTCCCACCCCCTAGTCATCTCACCTTCTCTTTCCCCTTCACCTCTCACATTCACCTCCTTCTATTTAACATTCCCTTTCTCACACCATTCATCTTTGCCCCCCCCTCTTCTACCCTCCACCTCCCTCTTTACCCATCCCCCACCCCCACTAACCCCCCCCCCCCACACCGACATAAAGTGACTGTGTGATGTAGCTATCCATTACACAACCTGGGGTTATCAATCAGTCGAAGGAATGTAGACTGATATTAGGTGGCATCCGTATCATCATCAATGTCACTGTCGGAATAAGGCACTGTCCTTCCCGAGTCCCGATTATCTGGGTCATACATACCCCCATTCACATTGCCAAACCGACACCAAACCTAGAAGAAGTAGTAGAAGTAGTAGTAGGTAGTATTACCATCATCATCATCATCATCACGATCGTCATTTTTATCATCATATACATATAATAATTATCTATCATGTCTATCATCCATCCTATATAGACAATAATATCTGGGTTTATCGGTAATCGGTCGGGGACCTGCCGGGGACTATTCGGGGACAGTTCGGCATTTATCGGTCTTGTTGATGTGAATAGGATATAATGTCGGGAGTTCTTGATTGGGGTCGGTCGGGGGCTATTCGGGAACAGTTCGGCATATATTGTATCCGTCTCGTTGGTATATGAATGGGGCATGACACCCCGTTCTGTTAATTTCCTTCTGTCACTGTCATTCCATTTCCTTTAGTTTCTATTTAATCTTGTACAGCTAAATGAAATTATGTCCCTTCCAGGGCATCAAATTTTTATTTTTTGACCAGTTCAAAAGTGTACCACATAAAATTTACGATATACGGTTGTTGCGAGATGCAGATGAGCGCTACGTCATTGACGTTCTGGTTCTTCTTCTTTTTCCCCTTCTTCTTTTTCTTCTTCTTCTTCTTCTTTCTTCTTCTTCTTCTTCTCCTTCATATTTGTTTATCTACGTAATTATGTCTTCCTTACCCCCTTCCTTGTTGTCTAGCTCCTCAATAATCACTTTCGCCTTCTTCTACTCCCCCCCCCCCCCTTTAACCCCTAACAACTCCTCCACTTTCCCCTCTCCTCCCCGTCTGCCAACCCAACTACACATCCGTCTTCGTTACCTCCTTTTCACCCCTCTATTCTCATCTAAAATCTTGCCCTACCCTTCCCCCTCCGCGTCATTCGCCCCCTCCCACCCCCTAGTCATCTCACCTTCTCTTTCCCCTTCACCTCTCACATTCACCTCCTTCTATTTAACATTCCCTTTCTCACACCATTCATCTTTGCCCCCCCCCCCTCTTCTACCCTCCACCTCCCTCTTTACCCATCCCCCACCCCCACTAACCCCCCCCCCCCCACACCGACATAAAGTGACTGTGTGATGTAGCTATCCATTACACAACCTGGGGTTATCAATCAGTCGAAGGAATGTAGACTGATATTAGGTGGCATCCGTATCATCATCAATGTCACTGTCGGAATAAGGCACTGTCCTTCCCGAGTCCCGATTATCTGGGTCATACATACCCCCATTCACATTGCCAAACCGACACCAAACCTAGAAGAAGTAGTAGAAGTAGTAGTAGGTAGTATTACCATCATCATCATCATCATCACGATCGTCATTTTTATCATCATATACATATAATAATTATCTATCATGTCTATCATCCATCCTATATAGACAATAATATCTGGGTTTATCGGTAATCGGTCGGGGACCTGCCGGGGACTATTCGGGGACAGTTCGGCATTTATCGGTCTTGTTGATGTGAATAGGATATAATGTCGGGAGTTCTTGATTGGGGTCGGTCGGGGGCTATTCGGGAACAGTTCGGCATATATTGTATCCGTCTCGTTGGTATATGAATGGGGCATGACACCCCGTTCTGTTAATTTCCTTCTGTCACTGTCCATCTTAATGTACTGTATAATACATGTATATTTATAGCCGCCAATGATATGGCAAGGTTCTTTTTTTTAAAGAGGTGTTGTGGTCTAGCGGATAAGTCACCGGACTGTAGATCACAAGGTACGGGTTCAATTCCCAGTCCGACACTAACGTCCTTTGGCAAGACGTTAATCTACGCTTGCCACTCTCCACCCAGGTTCTAAGTGGGTACCCGGTAGGATGCGAACGTGAATGTAGTATTCCCAGCATTGTGAGCGTCTGTAAAATGGCGCCTGGCTGGAATGCTCCCCAGGGAGTGGAGAATGTGCACACATGCGTACGGGCGAGCTTGAATCTGATGACCGGGGTAATGATAAATCTGTAAAGCGCAGACATCGCCGATGTATTAAGCGCTGTATAAACGCGGAATATTATTATTATTATTATTATTATTAAAGAGAAGATTGAGCTCTGGGAAATGTGAAAAACATCTGGGGGGTGTTTCACAAAGATCCTAAGTAGAACTTAACTCTAAGTTGGACTTAAAATTATGGACAGCCATTGGAGTCTTAAAATGAAATATATTCAAAAGCAGAAATTCAAGTATTTTAGACTTTTTATGAATTCCACATCCAGAACATGAAATCTCCTTGATGATAGACAATATGAATGATTTGAATAAACAATTAATGCCTTTCAAAATAACTTTTACAAAATATTTTCAAAGATGCTAATGGCTTTCCATAATTTTTAAGTCCAACTTAGAGATAAGTTCAACTTAGGATCTTTGTGAAACACCCCCCCTGAACTTTTTCTTTCATTTTCATGTTATTGTGGAAGAGGATGGCTCGTCGAATGCCCCCATATTGTTATGCTGAATAACAGCTAAAAGTAGTGAAGTTCAACTTTCATGTCACATGTTGTGTATTGATTGATTGATTGATTGATTGATTTTATTCGCCAAGCCTCCAACGTTACAACAATATAAAAGAATAACAGACCATAATTGAGTCATCTTGAACAGGATAACCCACGAAAGCTCGAGAGCTTATTTCCAGTGTAGTCCCATGAAACATATTTCTGTGTACAGTGCATGTGACTGTCAGCAAGGCTGAGCAAATTCCTCACCATTTTGGCGATTCCAAAACCTCAGTTTACATGATCAACCCTTCAAATCACTTCCACACACTGCAGTTTCTAGTCGCAACCTCGAAATTATTCGCAACTACTTTCTCACAATACACAGTTTCGATTAGTTTTATTTATTTATTTTTTGTTTGTTTTACCTAACTGAGCACTGAGAAAGCATTTGTATGCTTGTAATTAAGCAACCAGTGGACCGACGGCTTTTAAGTCCTCCCCGAGAGACTTGGTAATGAGAATAATAATGCCATACCAAAAATTATACGTTGCGATTGGTTTAAATCAATCGCTATTCTTTACAAAACATGACCCAGAACTTAAATTTATCTGAAACTCCTCATCACCACCACTACCACCGAACACACTAACAATCATCCTTGTGAAATATCCATCCATCCATCCTCCCATCATCACACGCCTTGCCCGTCATCAGACGACCCCGATTCATCTTACACGTCAGTCAGCTCCAGCCCCCATCGGTATCAAACTTGGATAACATCCGCATCATCCTTACTCCCCTCATTGGGTATCTTCGACATGGAGGGGGGGGGGGGGGGGGGGGGGGGGGGGGGTTTCACAAAGATCATAAGTTGAACTTTTCTCTTAGTTGGACTTTAACATTATGGAAAGCCGTTAGCATCTTTGAAAGTATTTTGTAAAAGTTATATTTAAAAGGCATAGAATGTTGATTCAAATCATTTATATTTTCAATTATCAAGGAGATTTTACGTTCTTGATGTGGATTTAAAAAATTTTAAATCTAATATTTGAAATTTTGAAATTTTACTTTATTTTATTTCAAGGCTACAAAGGGCTCTCCATAATGTTTAAATCCAACACTCTACTCATCACCAACCCTCCCCCTCATTGGTATACTTGGTATAATTATCCGCATCTCCCCATTTTCCCTCTCAGTGGTATCTTCTACTTGGAACACTCTACTCACCCCCCCCCCCTCATTGGTATACTTGGTCTAGTTATCTGCATCCCCATCTCCCTCCCCATCTGTGGTATCTTTTACTTGTTACACTCTACTCACCCCCCCCCCTCCCCCTCATTGGTATACTTGGTATAATTATCCGCATCCCCCCATCTTCCCTCTCAGTGGTATATTCTACTTGGAACACTTTACTCATCACCACCCCCTCCCCCTCATTGGTATACCTGGTCTAGTTATCCGCGTCCCCCCATCTCCCCCTCGGTGGTATCTTCTACTTGGTACACTCTACTCACCCCCCCCCCCTCCCCCTCATTGGTATACTTGGTATAATTATCCGCATCCCCCCATCTTCCCTCTCAGTGGTATCTTTTACTTGGGACACTCTCCGCATCATCTCTCCCCCCCCCCCATTGGTATACTTGGTCTTATTATCCTTAGCCCCCCCCCCCCCATCTTCCCCCCTCGGTGGTATCTTCTACTTGGAATACTTTACGCATCACCCCCCCCCCCCCCCTCATTGGTATACCTGGTCTAGTTATCCGCACCCCCCCCCCATCTCCACCTCGGTGGTATCATCTTCTACTTGGAATACTCTCCTCATCACCCCCCCCCCCCTCCTCATTGGTATACTTGGTTTAATCATTTTCCGCATCCCCCATCTTCCTCCCCCCCCCCCCCCCTCGGTGGTATCTTCTTCTACTTGGTACAATCTCCGCATCATCTCTCCTCCCCTCTTCATTGGTATACTTGGTCTAATCATTATCCACATCCCCCCATCTCCCCCCTCATTGGTATACCTGGTCTAATTATCCGCACCCCCATCTCCCCCTCGGTGGTATCTTCGACTTGGAATACTCTCCGCATCATCTCTCCTCTTCTCGGCGGTATCCTTGATACACTATCCGCATCATCCATCCTCCCTTGTTGGAATCTTTTACTCGGTATTATATTCACATCACCTCTCTTCCCAGTGGTATCTTGTTGGTATACTATTCGCATCATTCACCCTTCTCTTGGTGGTATACCTTCTACTTGGGACTATTATCCGCATCTCGTTATATTCACCATGGCAACAGATTGGAAAACGAATTACATTGATAAAACCCTTATGGCGTCCGGCAATTTGACCCATGCGGCCATAGTCGGACTGGATGGGGCTATTTGGGCAACATCAGACGACTTTAAGGTATGTCAATGTTTTTGAAATATATTTTTAAAAATGAACATGTATGCATGTGTGTATAGGTATGCATGCATGTGCATGTATTTAGGTAACAAAATTATACACATATATATTTGTTTGTTTTGGTTTTTTCTAGTTCGTTTTTAATTGTTTCTATGTTTGTTTACTTCATGTTATTTTCGTTCCCATACCATATTCACAAACAATTGTTATCAGCTTATCGTCGTTATCTATTTGTTTGTGTTTCTTTGTCATCCTGTTACAGGGGTGTATATCCTTAAAATCTCTTCAACTGATATGATTTTTATATCCCTTTCAATTTCAGTTTCAGTTTCAGTTACCGTTTCGTTTATTCCATATTTCACATTCACATTCATGACATAAATCATAAACAATAAACAATAAAAATAGGGGGGGGGTCTTTCATGAGTTATACAAATAATACAATGCTACGAAGTCATGAAAGTAATAATAGAGTCGAAATAACTTACGGAGATATAAATACAATTGCATGGTATATTTAAACTAAAATTATACAAATATATGTCAGTGAAATTTGACGGCATCTATAGTAAAAAGCCCCCAAAACGAGATGGGCGAAATAAGACGAGGGACGTATAACCAAAAAAGAGCAGTATATATTAGGGAGCCAAGGGACGAATTACGTAAATGTTTAGCGGAATATTGGAAAATGAGGCTTAGTTAAAGGTATATACAGCTTTGTCTCAATTTCCATTCATTTTACTTGCTAAACTTCTCTTTTCTTTCATTCTATTCTTAAAAAAGGTTGACCTAATGAAGTGGCTATCAAGTTTTTTCACATTAGTTCAATTTGTTAACTATAATATTTTAGTTTTTAATTGTCTATATTACAAATAGGCCTACGGTTTCAGCCAAGGCCGTTCCCTTCAAAACCCAACTGTGTATGCCTTATATACGTTCAGACCCCCGAACAGAACCAGCTATCCCTGAAAGACTGAAACCGTAGTCTTAAAGGTAATACAAAGTTTTGGGAAATTTGAAAGTTGGGTGGATAGTGATTCTTTACAATTTTGATTTATTTGGATGCCCCTGTTGATGTATTATAAGCACTAGAAAATTTAGCCCCTAAAACAACTGTGCCTTCGAGACAAATTGAATATCAAAATTTACCGGTGGTCCCGGTAAATTTTGATAAATTTCAAATAGTGCCTATACGGCCGTACAATGGTAGCTGCGACCATGACAATGTTAGAATATGTACAACTTCCAAACGGAAATAGCTAATCGGTCGATTTTAGTCAAGAAATAATGTTTTATAGCTTAATTAATATCTTGACCTTGAGAGAGAGAGCTATACAACATAAAGAGTGTATTATTTACAATTTCATAACTTTAGACTCGATTTCGACCGCGACAACGATCACTGAATATTGTTTGATCGCATATGCTTCCAATATGTTCATTTGAACCAAATTCATGACCCCGTACTTAAACTTCGTACTACCTTTAAAGTTTGGTCCTCTCATCCTCCTGGCAACAACCTTCCCAGGAAGCCCAGGCCGTTTTGCTGCAAGCATGAAGACTCTGACATGTGTCCATGTGGTCAAATTCAGTCTGTTGGGCATGTTCTGAATGAGAGTGCTCTAGCAGGACCCCCCCCCCCCATGATGTTGTTTTTTTAATATTTTTTTTCTTCGTCATGTTAGAGATGTTTCATACTTGTGTCACCTCTGGAAGAAAAAAAATCCGTGTGCGCCATTTGTTTGCTATATATTTAAAGATGAAGTTGAGTTCTGGTCATGCGATTGCATTGTGAAAGAAACGGTGTGGAACCGACCAGAAAAGGTTGATCATCTAGCATATAAGAATTTGTGTGTATTGCAAGGTTCTGGAATCATCAAAATGATAAGAAATTTGGCCAAGTCTTGGTAAAGTTACAAACACTTGCACAGAAAGATGTATATGGGACTACACGAACACGTGGCGTAAAAAGCCGGCCCCCGATTTTTACGATGTTACATGCATATTTAAAATATGAAGGCATTTGAAGAGCCATGCTTTTCAGGGAACATGTCTTAACTGATGTTCTTCCACACTTGCATAATAAGAATGAGTAATGCTCACAAATTATTTTTCACCTCTTCCCAGAACTCAACCTTCTCTTTAAAGGGAAATCCAAGCTTTGTAATAATTTAATTTCTATGGCAGTGGGTGCAAAAGGAGAAAAAGAATGGCGAAATTTTCAAATAAATCGGACAAATAATAAGAGTTTTCTAAAGCTATGCAAATCTCAAATCTGCATTTTGGGTGCTTGATTGTGACATCGTCGCTAGTAACTCACCCGTTTGTTGCGTACAAAAAATATAGTATTTGTTTTCTTTCTATTTAGTACTTTCTGTCCGATTAGGACACTAACAAATAAAATTAAAAAAAAGGGGGGGGGGGGGAGAGGACAAAATGGGAAAGTTTTCTAATGCTAATAATCATTTTATTTATTTTTTCTCTCTCTTTCTCCATTCCCCCCCCCCCCCCTCCTCTCTCTCTCTCTCCTCTCTCTCCCTCTCTCTCTCCCTCTCTCTCTCTTTCTTCTTTTTCCTTTTCTTCTTCTCTTTTTTTCTCTTTGTTTTCCTCGCTTACCCTCTTTCGTTCCCTATCTCTCCTCCCCCTCTCTCTCTCTTTCTCTCTCTATCTCGCGCTATCACCCCTTCTTCTCTGCATCCCCTCCCCTCCCCTCCCCTCCCCCATCCCCATCCAGATTTCGGCCGGGGAAGTAGGATTCCTTATTCGCGGTCTGGCCACGGCGGAGTCATTGCGAGAGAACGGCGTTCTGATTGGAGGGGTGAAATATGTGCTTCTTCGAGCAGACGATAACGCTGTCTTGGCCAGGAAACAAGGCACAGGAGTGTGTGTAGGCAAAAGTAGCACCGGTACGTATAGGAATTTAAGGGCGCGGATCAGGGGCGTCCTGGGGGCCTGGACGCCCTTTTTTTTATTGGCCAGATATTTCAGGGGAGTTGGAAATTGAACCTCATGCTGCTTTTACTTTTACTTGTGAGAATAGGACATCGGATTCCACCCCTCCTCCTATCCCTCAAAAAATTAACAAACTTAAAGGCCCATTGTACTACTTGTAGCTACTTGCTTCCCCTATATAGAAAGCAATGCCTAACCATTGGTCCCCCATGATCCTCTTTTTCTCATGTTATTTGAGAGCTGAGTTGATGAGATAACCACCTGTCCAGTGACCTTGCAGGGTGGTTTAATCCCTCCTATAAACTAGTACAGATAAGCTTTTACAAAAAAAATAACTAACAAATAAACTTTTCTCAATTCACAACTTATATCAGTAACGTCTCACTAAAACCAAGTAAATTCGAAGGCAGGTTAATAACGAACAATAAGAGTCCAGTGTTAATACACTAAAACATGGATTTTGAGTTTCCAGTACTAGTTAATAAGGTTTTTTCCTATATGATAACTCCTACATGTAACTATATCATAATGTTTAATTCAATTTCATGTATTTATTTGTGTGTTATAAAGAAATAGAAATTATCTTTGAATTTATGCAAGGAGGGAAAAGTGTACGATTTTGGGGTGTCACATTCATGTTATGCATTTTTTCTTCAAATATGTGCATTTTCATTAAATTCTGTTATACTATAATGGTTAATTTATTTAATTAATTAATGGTTTGTCTAATTAAAAACATAATGCATCACAGTCCGAGAGCTTAATTGTGCAATATTTTTACAAAAGCATTTTCATGATAAACAAAAATACACTACATAGTACCACAATAATACAAATAAACAATATGCAATTGTAAAACATTCATTAGTGTTATACCAATTTTTCCAATGTTGTGATGACAATTAAAAAAAAATGTTTTGATCTCCGCTATTAATAATTAATTAATGGTTTAGTTATTGAACCATGGTTGAAATGAGTGTTATCTCCCTTTTCTTCATAATTATAGCTCTTGTCATCGGAGTATACGGAACAGATCATGTAGCCGGAAAAGCGAACAATACCGTACAGGAACTAGCGCAATATTTGATTGGTCAAGGCACCTAAGGACTCGTCCACTTGAAATTTTACTGAGGGACGCGAGGACTCAATGTAATAGCGTCTGAAGTCATGTTTTATTTTGATATTTATTAATTTATTATTGTTATCTATTAATTTCGTATATGACGAAACCGGTCATGCTGAAAACATATTGTTTAAATAACACCCATTGGAGAAAAAACAATTCTTTAAAGTACAACAAGTGCACAACGAAAAGGACAACAATGGCATACCTTGGATTGAGTGCTATGACCCATATTGGCAACGTTGATTGGTTGGAGAGTTTTTCAGGACCGTTCCATTATTGCTTGGAGGGAAGCAGAATTGCTGATTCTGATATTTTTCTTTCTACGTTTGAAAACTATTTTCTGATTATCCTTGATATACGATGATATCTCAACTTACGTTCCCGGGACTTAAAGCCTATCTGCACTAGTTTGGCCAGGAGGGATTAGACCTCCATGCGTGGTTACTGACGGGTCATCTCATCAAATCATAGGGAAAAGGGGACCATATGGGATCAACGGGTGCCGCTTAGGTATTGTTGGTTATACAAGGGTGCAAGTATCTACAAGTAGTGCAGTCCCGCTTAAACTGATCCGGGCAATGTGGCTCACACATCTTAGTCGGGCTGCCATTCAGTTGCGTGTTATAAAGTTGACAATTATAGATTTAAAAAAATATCGAAATTACGAGAATCTGATTTAATCCGTTTTAATGCTTAGAGCAGAAACAATATTTGAAATATCCTGAATGAGGTGCCTTCTTTGGGTATTTTCCCCGGCTCAAACAATATTTTTGAGAACTGTAAAGACAACTCTGGGCAATTTGAAGACTCAAACTGTGGAAACACAAGGCGATAATATAGACCTTTTCAAATTACACAACGACAAGCTTACTTCATTATAGGAGTAAAATCGAGGAGCCTATAACTATTGAACATCAATTACATCCTTAAAGCTTACAGAGGACAGTTAATCGATTTTATATGGATTTATTTAATCAATTATTATCATATCAACTTGATTCCCACTCATTTTCAACGAAAGAAATTCCATGAATATTGCATGCGAGTTCAAAATATCCATATTCCAAACTATGACGCCATAATTGATTGCAATCACAATTCAATTCACCAGTTTCTCACAAAATGGCAATCATTGATATGTGCCCTATAAAAATGTAACCGCTCTTGTTATCATTATTATTATTATTGTTGTTATTTTTATCATAATTATTATTACCAATATCATTATTAGTATTGTTATTATCATTATTATAATTAGTAGTCGTAGTAGTAGTAGTAGTAGTAGTAGTAGTAGTATTAGTATTAGTAAATAAATTGATATCTTGAAAATAGGTGCATTGATAAATAATATAAATGCACTCATATTGTGGAATAAGCTATTCTTTCTGATTGGGTAATCGACTGTACATCATTTTCCAACGTTATATATATTATTTTTCTTAAGGTTAATTTCCAATGACAAAAAAGTACTCAATATGATAGCATATAATGTAAACTGTTCATTATACAGCTACATGACTAACTTAACACGTGTTTAAAAAAAAAAAAAATTATACTATTATTATCATTCATTTTTTCCTGAAGAACAGCAACTGTTAGATATAGAATTGTAAGGCCTCAAACATGTAAACTTTTTGATATATCCTGCTGTTCCAATGTAATTCTTACTCTTACATAACTCAAATTACGCCCAACTAATACATTGATTTTGTATGAAGAGAGCACTTGGAATATAATTATACATTATGTAATATGTATATGCCATCAAACGTACTGTACAGAATAATTATAATATTGTTTAATATTTCATCATTTTTAATATAGCTTGAAGTGAGCATAAAATGATTCATATATAAATATTGTCTTTATGTTCAACCAATAGAAGGCATAGCTAAATATTCTATCTTTAAAAAAAAGTTTTTGATTTGTACGTATAGGTATCTTTTCTCATGATGGTATATGCTGCATAAACATGCGCGTATAGCTTATGCGGTAGATTTACATCTTTAAAAAGTGTTCGTAATCTTCGTACTTCATTAAATTTAATAGGCCTATTTGGCCTTTTCGTATTTATTTTTTTACGTTTCGATGTTTTTTTTCTCGGTCTATTACCTTCTTCGGATAATAATGCAAGCGTATCTTTTGTTATTTAAACTAAATTTGAAGTTCAATATATCACAATGTAAATTCAAGATTTTTAATGTAAGAAAGTTATTTTATATCGCATTCTCCGATATGAATAAAATTCATTTGATTTGTTATTATTTTTCAAATCAGTGTTTATCATTTATTTAGATTGTTATTGTTGCACGGTGCATGAACGGGAATAGATCCATACCACATTTATTTTGCAGGTTTTATCTTATGTCTTAAAGATTTGTATAATATCAGTTTGATGAGCTTGAAAATGCAATATTATTCATAAATTATGTTGCGTTGCGCTGACTACTTTGAAAACATTGGAATTCAACTCATTGACATAATATATCCCATCATAATGTAACAGAATCATATTTTCATTTGATATTTATTTTCAATCTTTAAGAATTCGAGAGGGTGGGTGAAAAGCTCTCAGTTAACCCCTCGCCAATTTTTTTTCGACACCCCACTGTCTAATCCCTATTCAAATCATGGTCTAGCATTGCCATTGGTTCAAACTTTCCCCTGTTGCGTTTAGCTGTGTCACAGTTTAGTAAGCTGTGACATTGCATCACCGTGGGATGTCCATGTTCTCTATACTGCAGGTGTATGGCATTTGACAGATGTAATTGATCTAATACCCAAGTGCTACAGAACTCATTTCACTTGTAATTAAAAATGAAGTAGAGTACTGGTAATGAGATGACATTGTAAAATAAATACACCAGTTTACAGTTGTATCAGTGCGCATGCGCAGACAGTTGACCTCGGGTCATTGGCTTTGTTTAAAATGGCGCACACAACTGTAAACTGGTGTATTGCCATGAAGCAATTGGGAAAGGTAGTTATGCAGTTACATAAGAATTGGTAATACTGTGAGGTGATGGAGTGATCTACAAAAAAAAACAACATGTAACTGCGGTATGAAGGTGTGGACTGTGGTTCAAACCCTTCAACTATTTCTCGTCATATTTCAAATATGAGGGCATTTAAAAGCACTCTTTTCCAGGAGACTTTGAGATACTTCTACATGATATCTCCATAGCACTAACTGACATACAAAGAACGAGAAAGGTCAAACGATACATACTTTGTTGTTGATTTTTTTTTTTGACACTGCATTGCACATTGATATTGTTTACACTTCTTAAAGTAGACAAGGTTTGGCCTGTAGTTTCTCCCTTTTTTTCCTGTGGCCCATTGGGAGTAATAAGCAACATGTTTTATATAGTGGCGTACTGAGAAGGCTTCGCTGGTGGCATAAGGGGGGGGGGGGGGTGTTGTACCGTACAGCACCCCACCCCCTCTCGTGCCACCAGCGAAGTTACTGATAAAGATGAATGACCAAAGATTAGGAATGGCCATGTTTAAACAAATTTGTGTCATCTTTCCATTCCCTCTCTTTTTGTTTCCCTGCTATATACTCTGTAATCTTTATGTTATTCGGCTGTGATAGGGGGGGGGGGGGGGGGGGGGGGGGGGGGGGAGGGGGGGGGCGTTCCCCCATCACCCTTTTATAGCTACGCCACAACCCGTAAAAACATTCCCTTCATATAGAAGTAGCATACACCTGCTAGCTCCGTAGGCACGTACGATACACGCTTGGCATGCCTCGCGTTGCAACACCATGACAGCGTTATGCAGGGGTGAATGTATCATCTTTCATCTCCCCCCGATATGGGGGCGTGGCTCGGTCGTCCGAGAGCGCACGACCGTCTCGTTCGCCGTAAAAGGGTGTCTGTCGAAGGAGCGCCGCGGTAGGTTGTGGATGTCTAGCTCCCGACCTTCCGTGGGTGTATGAATGAAAGAGTTATGTGTTTACAATGATTGGAGCTCATTAGAGAGATATTGGGCGGGGCGGGAAGATCCTAATATAACTCACATTGCAGGAGCATTTCAGCTTGCAAGGGGGTGATGTACTATAATGACAGCAATACATTATAATCTTCGCAATGAGTTATTGCAGGGATATTCAAGAGGGAATCCCCCTTGTCGCATTAGTTATGACTTAATGTATCATTATGTGCAATTGTACATTATAACCTAGTAATTCAGTCCCGAGGGAGGGGGGGGGGGTGTACTCGGATTTGGTTTTGACGAGGGTGTGCCGCTGAAGCCTCAAAAACCCTACCCATGTTTAAGGGTCATTTTGGCGGATTTTTCTCGAAGTAAACTAAAGCCCATTTTCCAAAAATTACGTGTGTTTGCATGGCAAACATCCGGAACATTTTTGAAATTTTGAAAATGTGGACCCATATTTAGGGGTCATGCCAACATATAGGAAACGCGATAGCTCAGTCGGTAGAGCAGTGGTCTCGTAATCCGGTGACCCGGGTCCAAAACCAAGACGATGCGCTAGCAGTAGTGCTCTTTGGTAATTAAGGTATTAATCCTCATTACCAGGTCCCTCGGAGAGGACCTAAAGCCGTCGGCCGTCTGGTTGCTTACTTACAAGCATTTATGCTTTCTTAGCAGTCAGGTAAAATAACCACCACCACCATCTATTTATTGAAATGCCCGTCAGACGCAAAAAGGTATCACCAATGTATCCAAGTGGAAGAGGGTACGACGCCCTCCACGGTTATTGGAGAGTTTTGTTTGCAGATTTGCATTTTTGTCGACATGATTGCATGTAATTCAGGAAGGAAGAAGCATCAGGAGGTACATGACATCACTATGCATTTCAAATTTGTTTGAAGGTTCACGAGACCGCCATTTTCCCTTGACGCCCTAAATTTCTTGAGATTTGAAATGACCAGCATCATATAATGCTGATCATGATTGTCTTCGCGAATATTGCATCACTCCTTTCAATAATATCTATTTTTAACAAAAAACAATTAAAAAGAAAAACAACTCCAAAGAAGACAAATCAAAACATTTTTTGGTGGATTTTTCTGTTTTATTTGTACATTAGTAAAGTAAAGTGATATAACATTGTGATTTCATGTACATTACTTTGATATTGTTTAGTAGTCAATTTATCATAAGAGTACATGATACCATTGCATATAATGTTAGTTATTCATTCACATTCGTTTATAGAACAAGCAATGTAATTACACGCACCTGCACCTTATTCTAAAGTTGTCAACAAAACAAATGCATTTCGATAATCGTCTGCTGAAGATGAGAAGATAAGGTGAAAAGGAAAGA